AGATACAGAACTTGAGGTTGATCCCACCATCTTTTCCTCAACAGTCATTGGATGGAACAAGATCTGCTGCTGAGGGACCATCAACTCCATTTGGTTTGGAGATACAGAACCTGAGGTTGATCCCACCATCTTTTCCTCAACAGTCATTGGATGGAACGAGATCTGCTGCTGAGGGATCTTGTCTATCAACTCCATTTGGTTTGGAGATAGAGAACTTGAGGTTGATCCAACCATCTTTTCCTCAACAGTCACTGGATGGAACGAGATCTGCTCTTGAGGGACCTTGTCTAACAACTCCATTTGGTTTGGTGATACAGAACTTGAGGATGGTCCTACTGCAGCTTCTTGGACACCTGGGAATTCTGTCCGATGCCCAGACAAGGCAACTGGAGATGATGCCTTAGACGGGAGACTACCATGTCTGGATGACATATCATCATCACTCCTACCATCTGTTTCTTCCCTTCCTTCCACACCGCTCTTCACAGGATCTTCCTCGTCCTCTGAATCCAGATCCATATCTTGGATTTCCAGGTCAGTATCGCTGCTTTTGGAGAGCATGAGATCCACGGATCTCAAGTCCACACTTTCTCCATCTTGCTCATCTATACGGAGTCTAGGCTGGTTTCCCACTTCGCTTCCTGGATTGGCGGGTTCCCGAGACTTCACGTCTGCTTTGAACTCTGCTGCTTTCGACATTCCTGGGTTGGAACTCCCAGCAGGGAAGTCGTCCTTCACTTCTTCTGAAGACCCCACATCAGTTTCCCGATGTGCTACCGAAACGGCAACTTCCATGCTTGCGATGATGAGCTGTTCGTTTCTTGAACCCTCCGGAGGTCCCGTAAGCGGAGATGCGTCATCTTGGGAAATTCCAACTAACTTAGTCTCTTGACTTCTGTCTGTCTTGGTTTGAGGGATCACACGGTCGTCGACCCCAGGCGGGTTTTCAACAGGAAGCACAGGGTGAAGTGAGGTTTGTTCTTTGGGCTCCGCATTGACCCCCTGGAAAAAAATAAAATAAATAAATCCAGCTGTCAGAGTGGCAGACAGACACAATGAGGTTTTTGCAAAAAAAAACAAAAAAATCTCTACGGGTTTTAAAACCAACAAGCTATGCTAGCATAGGAACATACAGGCAGGACTTGACTTACGACCAAATCCCCCCTCCTTTTTCTTCCGCCTCCTCTCCCTCTTTTCTCCTTCCTTCTTCCTCCTCTCCCTTCTCCTCCCTCCCTTTCTCCTCCTCTTCTCTTCTTTCTCTTCCTCTCTCTTCCTTCCTCCTCTCCTCCCCCTCCTCCCTTCCTTTCTTCTTCTCTTCCTCCTCTTTTCCTCCTCATCCCCCTTTCTTCTCCTCCTCTCTTTCTCTTCCTCTCCCTTCCTTCCTCCTCCTCCTTCCCCTCCTTTTCTCCTTCTCTTCCTCCTCCTCTCCTCCTCTCTTCTTTCTCTTCCTCTCCCTTACTTCCTCCTCTCTCCTCTCCCTCCTCCCTGTTCCTTTCTCCTTCTCCTCTTCCTTCTTCTCCCCGCTTTTTCCTTCTCCTCTTACTCCCTTTTCCCCCTCCTCCTCCTTCCTCTCTCCTCTTCTGCTCCCCCTTCCTTTCTCCTCCCCTTCTTCCTCCTCCTCCCTCTTTTCTCCTCCCCCTTTCTTTCCCCTTTTTCTCTTCCTCCACCTCCCCTTTTACTTCTCTTCTTTCTCCCTTTTTCTCCTCCTCCTCCCTTTCTCCTCCTCTGCTCCCCCTTCATTTCTCCTTCTCTTCTTCCTCCTCCCTCCTTTCTCCTTCTCCCCCTCCCCCTTTTCCCTTCTCCTCTTGCTCCCTTTTTTCTCCTCCTCCTCTGCCTCCTCCCCCTTTCTTTCCCCCTTTCCTCTTCCTCCACCTCCCCTTTTACTTCTCTTTTCTCCCTTTTTTCTCCTCCTCCTCCTCCCTTTCTCCTCCTCTGCTCCCCCTTCCTTTCTACTTCTCTTCCTCCTCCCTCCTTTCTCCTTTGCCCCCTCCCCCTTTTTCCTTCTCCTCTTACTCCCTTTTTTCTCCTCCTCCTCTCTCCTCTTCTGCTCCTCCTTCCTTTCTCCTCCTCTTCTTCCTCCTCCTCCCTCTTTTCTCCTCCGCCTCTGCCTCCTCCACTCCATAAAGCCAATACCCTCCTACCCCTGATGATGTTACCTAGTCAGGTCATGAAACATCTGCAAGCACACAAGCTCAAGAGATCACCACAGACTCCACGATTCAACCCCGATCTGCACACCTTCTCTCCCATGGGTGCTAACCGGAAATCCCTTGCCCAGGAGGGTACTTTACAGCTTAGTCGTCCGTTGGCTCTACGGGGCCCACCAAAACCTTACCTCATCAACAGACTTTAGAGGAGGACGAGACAGTCCTTCCTTCTCAGGCAGATCCTTGGCTTCTTCAGGCTTTGTCTGAAGACTCTCGTCCTCTAAGGAGTCGGCAGAGGACAGTTTGTTCCCCGGGAGTATCTTCTCGGAAGGAGAAACCGAGCCATCTTGCCCTCCTTCGGCAGGGATCTGGACAGCTTCGGGGCGTTTCTCCAACATGTAAGGTCCACCCCCATCGTCCATGGGTTCCAAGGGGTCCACCAGACTGTTCAGGGAGACGTATTTGGCCGGGTTGCTGTGCTCCACTACTTTTCGTACCGTCAGCGCTTTGATCGTTTTGCTATAAAACAGCGCCATCCACACATGGAGGATCAGTCTCATTTCTTCCATGTCATCCGAGAGGCTTTCGTCCCAGGGCCTGGAGAAAGGAGAAGGGAAAGTGGGAATTGGGTCTGTAGTTGAAACATGCTCGTCGCTTGGCTTTGCAACTTCTTACAATACTAGACAACACAGTATCGACAGTAGAGATCTTCAAGTTTCTAGGTTCTATCATATCACATGATCTAAAATGGACACCTAACATCAAAAACGTCATCAAAAAGGCACAACAAAGAATGTTCTTCCTGCGCCAACTCAGAGAGCTCAAACTGCCCAGGAAGCTGCTGACCCAGTTCTACAGAGGAACTATTGAGTCTGTCATCTGCACCTCTATCACTGTCTGGTTTGGTTCTGCAACCCAACAGGACAGACACAGACTTCAGAGGATAATTAGGACTGCAGAAAAAACAATTATTACCAACCTGCCTTCCATGGAGGACCTCTATCTTTCATGAGTCAAAAAGAGGGCTGTGAAAATATTTACAGACCCCCTCACATCCTGGACATAAACCGTTTCAACTCCTTCCCTCAAAACGATGCTATAGAGCCCTGCACACCAGAACAACTAGACACAAGGGCAGTTCTTTTCCGAATGCCATCACTTTGCTACACAAATAATTCCCTCAACACTGTCAAATTACTTAGTAAGACTGTATTACTATTATTCTTCTCATCCTTCCTATTACCTATCTCCTCCCACTTGTGACTGTAGGACTGTAACGTTGTGGCTTGCATCCTTACGATTTATATTGACTGTCTCCTAGTATGATTTGATTGCTTATTGTACCCTATGACTATCATTAAGTGCGGCACCTGATGATTCTTGACTCTTGACGAATGTATCTTTTCTTGTATGTACACTGAGAGCATTTGCACCAAGACAAATTCCTTGTGTGTCCAGTCACACTTGGCCAATAAAGAATTCTCTTCTACTCTACTCTACTCTACTCTACTCTACTCTATTCTTATTCTTATTCTGTTCTGTTCTATCCTTATTCTTTCCTTATTCTATTCTATTCTATTCTATTCTATTCTATTCTATTCTATTCTATTCTATTATTCTATTCTATTCTATTCTATTCTATTCTATTCTATTCTATTCTA